CTAATTTTTACGTCTATTTATATTTTGTATTTCCTTTTTTCAGCTCTTCTAATGCGTATTCAATTGCCTTAAGTAGGAATTAGCGAATCTTATTGTTGTAAACAAGACAGTGTCTATTAATTGCTTAAAATACATCAAATTTATCTTTCCGTTGGGTGCGAGCTCTTTCTTGATTCTGATTTTATTCGTCTTTCTTGCTTTTTAGATTGTGCGTCCAGAGTCCCCCGATCTTCTTTATCCTACGCTCCCAGTGATTCCCAAGTCGATAATGCCATGTGGAAACGTATTTGTGAGGTAAGGAGGTCATTTTTTATGGTTTGTTTTTGATACAATCGCGCATATGATATTGTAGCGGATTGCTACTTTATTAAAACCTGACTGACTCAGAAATCTCTATGGTAGATTCTCCAACATCTAGCTAGACTCCCAGAACCAGCTAAGCCATAGCCCAGCTATGAAAGAAAACAGACGTGTAGCACGGAGCACGCTTATTCAGTACGGATATTGCGGATAAATTGTGTTCACACAGGGAGCTACTCATGATCAGGATGGGGGATTAGGTTAAACAGAGGTTGATGATTAGTCACTGTTAGTACGGTCGCTGCACACAGAGTTGTACGGCCGCAACTCCCAATCCTGTCGAGCAGACATGCAGCGATAATGTGTCCCACAATATATCGATTATTCCTACATTATCAAAATCATTAAAACATCCTTTAAATTCTCTATCTAATTAAGAAGGGAAATTTTGGCTTTACGCATACATTAAACCATGGTCATTCGGAGAGGTTCTTTTGGAAAAATATATCGTTTAATTACTTCCCTGGGATAAATTATTGAATTACAAAAGATTGAAACTTGGCCAAGAAGCTTTGATAGACGCATAGGTACGAAGTGACTATCTGATGTTGAGAAGACCTAGGAAGTCTAGCTTCTTATTGGTCCATATTCTGGTGAGGTTTTTAGCGGGATTTGCTTCAAAACCCTCAGTAGAAATTTATTTAGTGGCGTACACCGAACTATTGGGCTGGTTCTAGGAGACTACCATAAATTTGATCGGGATTGGTACATCTAACTCAATAGCTAAAGCATTGATGCCTTGAGTGTGTGATAACTCTGCCATCGTGTTGTGGAAGAACTTGCATACAATATCATATTCACTTCTTCAACTTATTAAAGATGCTCTTTTTAGCCTTGCAATATTGGTTTCGCCACATCAGCTCAGTATAACCAACACATGAAGAATGTACACAACAAGCGTCGATTCGCCTGTCCTGAATGTGGTAAGTAAATCTTCATTAATGTGCGGTTCTTTTATTTTCAATACTGATCATCATTTGGTTTATTCTCAGATATATTTGAACAAAGCTGCTTCGTAAACTAATTTTATCTTTATAGTCAATGCCATGTCAAGATGGCCAATTTACTCTTATTGATGCGTTAATATTTGTAGGAACAACATTTAGCACGAAAGGTAACATGACGACTCATTTCCAACGCGTTCACAATCAGAGTGACTCTGCAATTTGTCCAATCTGTGCAAAGCGAATAAGCACCCAGTAAGTCTTCGTCGAATTTCTCGGAGTTCCCCTTGAATTTAACTGGTTAAAGTGATTGTGCGCGAGTACTTTTAATGGGCTGGATGTTGTTTTTACACAAATCTCTCTTACCTACCTGGTTGTCAATATGCAGATTAAAGTACGATTCTGTCTTCACAGTAGGGGATAGTTAAGGTCATTTAAGGCTCATTTTGTTTTTTGTTTATTTTTCAGAGCATTTGAAGTCCAAATAACCGGCGGACTTGCGGGAAACTACAAATTCTACTTAGGTTATTGTTTTTTTTGATCTGGTGTATAATACTGGGTTCACCATGCTCAAAGTCTATTTGATTTGCCAGCCTAAATCTACTGAATCATTAAAAATTTTACTTGGTTTTATCCTGTAAAGCTGCGTTTATTAGCATTATAAATGCGCTTTTATGTGTATAAGTAAGGAAAAAAGAAGCTGAACTGAATGTCGTCTAATGGAAAGAATGCCCTCACGTATCTTAATGTGGATCAACGACGCGAGGATTGCACGAGTGCTGTTGTGTGTGTTTGTGAAGCAAAACACAGAGCCAGATGCACTTTGACAAGATTGAACCCTAGTATTTTGCTTGGATGGACTAATGAAAAGGAAAAAAAGCACATCGACAGTGAAAGTTAATATTATTAAAATCAGGGTGTCTCCTTGGAAGTTTATCATGCGGTTGAGCACCTGGTTACCACAAATATGTTATTTGTTCCATAATGGATTGTAATAAAATAAGTAAGACCCAGTATGAGCTATCCTGAAATCATTGTAATCACCAACACATTTAACGATCACTCGTCTAGACGCGCACATCAAAACCCCTGTCATTTGAAGTAAATAATAAAAATAGGCAAATAAATATAATTATTACTAATATTTACGCTATTGTTGTACACGGTATGTGGATACCAATGAGTTCGCAGTTCATCCAGTTTGTAAGATCTCATCTCAAACTTTGTATTTTTCATATAGATTCAACCTGGATCGTCACATCCGATTAGTTCACCAAACCGAAAGGCAGTGGGATCAGAGCCCGAATTCAGTAGTCACTCGTGGAAACGAGACTGATGATTCTGCAACTTCACTTGCAGGTGAAGGGTCAGCTCGAAGGCACGGCTATCTTCTATGTATGGCTCCATCATCTCAAGCAGCGACACAAAGTCAAGAAGTACAACTAGAAGAGCCTGACATTACGGTTGTTGTTGCAGATGTCAGTGTGGATGTGAACGCTCAACGACGAAGTAAGAAGAATACTTGAAATATACCCCCTGAATGTGCCTCGTGAACGCTGAACTCTGATATGAGCTTGAATATGTGTATATATGGCAAATGATGTATATTTTATTTTTCTATAAAGCAAGCTTTTACTTGTCATCAATAAACAGTGCAGATGGCTATCTGCGTCACTAATTTTGTGGCCTCTGTGACTCAATGAACCGGTAATATGCATGAAAAATTTCAGATGATTCCCGAAACTCCTGAAATACGTAATCAATTAAGACTCAATGTCTTTATGGCTCAACTTAATGAGCCAACTGCATGGTAAATGGGTTATGGCACTTGTGCTGCATAATCCCCTTCCAAACTTCTAACTCAAGCTATGCAAACTCGCGATCGGATATTATTTGCCTAATATTTTTGCAATGTTTGCTGAGAAAAGCTGCGAAGTGATAGGAAAAAACAAATGCAAGGAGATATAGGAAAATAAAATAGGGAGTAGTAATTATCCTAAAAGTACTAGGAATTACGCTGACCATATTTGGAAATGGCACTTGGGTCAAGGGAATGAGGCTGAAATACTTTGGAATTTATAAAAATTGGTCACATGCCACTTTTTTGCCAAATCTAGGCCACTTATTTATTTACTCAATTGCAAAAGTACAGAATCACGGTAGGCCGCATCTGGGAAAACCAGATGTCACAGTTGACCACGCAGATGCGACGAAAGCTACCACAAAAAGCACACCCCCGAATGTGCCTCATAGACGATGAAACTTGGAAGTATTTTAGAGAAAGTCTATGAGTGCATAGTGGATGATGCGTAATTTTTATGAAACTGCTAGTAAATAATACATTTTGTTTCGCGATATATCATTAATTTGGCTATGAGACCCAAGTCGACGCTGAAGGCCAATAAAAATTGCCCGAGTTCATTCTTATAGTTGTGTCAATTGCTTCAAAAGCATCCTATCACGTGAAGATCATTACAACCAAATATCTTAAGCAATCATCTTTGAAAGTACGATCCACTATGCAATTTTGTTTCAGAATACACTGCGAAAAAGATTCGAAAATGATAAGCTCACGATGCTCCATTTCCAATATTTATTTATATCAAATGCAGTTTTTAAGATAGTTATCATTAGCCCATTTGTTGATTTCGTGCTCCACAGAGAGGAGAAACATTAGCCACGAAAAGTTGAGAGGAACAGAGGTGTGATTCACAGATACAAGAGAAAAAGATAAGGTGAATTCTATGGAAGTGGTCGAATAAAACATACAATCAGATGATGGTATTTTGAAATCTGAAGTCAATTGCCGGTTTATAAACTATTTTGCCCAGAGTGCACCACGTGGAGGTAAGTCTTGCACGCCCACCTCTTTTCCAATATGAAAAGCTGCAAATTTGCAAACCGCACATAAGTTGACTTGCAAACAAGTCCAGTTTAGCTATTTTAACTAGCCACGTTTTCCAACCCATTAGTTCAACCGATAGATAAGTCGAAGTAAAGCATAAAGCAAAATTACTTCGTACTTTTGACCATTTATCAATCTTAGATAGTGTCGTTTTGCCCGTCAACGTATACGATGTATGTGTAGAAAAGTGAAATCATATTCCAGTTTACAATAATTCAATATCCGAAACCAAGAACAGAAAATTATAACTTCTAATGATTAAAGTCGAAGGAGAAAGGCCATTTGGTCTTCTTATGATATTATCAAGGAAAAAATAGACTGAATAAATTCAATCAAGATTGTACATTACATTGAATAATTCATAGCAAAATATAGCACAAAATAACGTGAAGAAAGAATGGAATGGGGGTATTACAAAGAGTTATTACTGTAGACAGCCGTTATGCATCCGCCTGATTGAGCCATTAGAATTCGACTAGAAACGATAAGCAATTCAATAAAACAAAGGAATTACCTTTTCTCTCGTTCCAGAACAACTACAGGCGGCCTTTCTCCTTCTGCATCAGTGACAAGTTGAGCATGTCGATATATAGAGGAGAGTACTTTGGAGGCCTCCACAGAACATTTTCCGACAGTTACCAAGGGCAGACCAGTTGAATCAAAGCATTGAATAGCAGTACTCTTCCCTTGAGCAAGGCTGGAGATTAACATGAATGCATTAAATCAAATGAAGTAATGTGGAGTTAAGGGAAGACTTTATAGACCTATTGTATGAAGAAATAGTGGCTCTCAATAATCTTCCAGGATAATCAATTGCCAGAATTCAATAAAAATAGTTTGAGGAGCATACAACAGTACCAAATGGAAAGAATATCTTACGTTTGTTCTAACTGGTTTCTTAGCTCCTCTTCCATCTAGACCATACAAGCACCCTATAGTTTTATATACATGCCTTCAGTGGGAGGTTATTAAGCGTATTTATTCAAAATCAGTTTGAGATTTTCTTGTAAAAAGTGTACATTCCAATATTGAACTGGCATGAATTAAATTAATAATATGTGTTGTATACCCGGTACTTTAATATGTATGAAATTGGGAAATTATATATATATATATATATATATATATTACAGCTTTAAAGACTGTAAATATTCTTAAAAAACTCGCTTTAATGATACAACCGGGCCATTTTATAATACTTATCATTTCTTTTTGTTAAAAATTCTTATGATTTCTAAAATTCACTCAGGGCTATTTTTTTCACAAACAACAATAATGAAGCTATCATAAAATTGACGAGGTTTAGGCAATTATTTAGAAGAGGAATATTTTGCTCATTATTAATGCTCTCTATAAATGAAAATTATTAAAATAGGTTGATATAAGTAAGCAATACATCATGTTTTAAAAAGCTTTATGCTAACTTTTTAACACTTCGTTTTATTACCTTAGAAGCTTTCATATTTTGACAAAATTCTATTACGAATTACAGAGAAAGTCTGTGCTATTTCCCATATTTCATTTCCAAATATCGAAACTATTCTTATTATTGGGACGGAGACCAACTTGGAATTATGGTTTTAGGTATATAAATGTACCTCAAGATAGGCATCAGTAATCAGTTTGAAATTATCTTATCTTATTTGAAGCTAATATGTTTCGTTTAATCCTTTAATTACAAAAAATGACGTTCACATGAGCATAAAAAAACAATCTAAGTATGCGAATTCGTTGAGGCGCCATCAAGAGATTCAGTTCATATAATTGCAAAACTTTTGTCACTAATATTTTTAATAAATTATTTTAGACCAATGCTGAAAACCATACGATAGATTTGAAGACTAGAAAAGATTTTTCCCCTGTTCGATCGAAATTAATGAATTATGGTGACAGATATGTTATACATATTCCGTGAAGAACAGAAAGACGTAAAGTTTCAGAAACAATCCTTTCTCTGTGAAGCATAGTTATGGTATCACAATTTATCACTTGCCGATTTTCAGGTAAATTAGCCTATGTCGAATTTCATAAAACCTTTATTTTCCTTAAAAATGTCTCTTAATCTAATAATAAATTCATGTTGCCTTAGGACCAGACAGTGGCAAAAATAGGATCAATCGATATGGTGTGTAATTGAGCGAAATATAACATGCTTGAGAGAAAATGAAAGGACATTAATTTTTTAAAACTATGTAATTTCAAACTGCCTGATTGTGATTTTATTAACACATTTACTAAACAATAAATAATAATTCAAATAATTCAATAATAGGAACATAATTATTGAATATTGATTTAAAATCTATTCATTTACTTGCTTGGATTCAGTCAACGATTATATCAATGTCTAATAATAATCAAGACATTCAATTTTACCATAATTAATTTTAATGAAACTATTTAGCATATTTTATTAGCATTCATCATAACGCTCCTCTACTTATAGAAATGACCTTAGCTTTTAATCAAGGTTATTATAATTCTCGTTCCTACTATTTCATCGGATTGTTCATGTTTAAGAAAGCGTTTCCTCTTAATCTCGTTTTTCCTGCACTTCTGCTCACGTTAATTTCCGGGGAAACGGATTTAACACTTTATAATATTCAAATTAAAAATGAACCTATTCAATTTTCAGCAGTAATTTGAAATTAGTTTTATTTTTCTTCATTAGATTGAAGGGAATCACCTTGAAGTTATGTCCCTTAATGGGCAACAATTTAGCTGCTTCATACCCGACATTGTCACGCAAAAAAATCAATCTGATCACCCCGTTAAAAATATCTCTGATTATATTAAAGCTTTTTACAACAAATGGAGCACATCTGATTGCCTTCATTGGGTACGCATTTATCGCCTTACTTGTCTATTGAACTAGTTTCATAGTTGGTGGACATATAAGATATGTATAGGTCAGGAAGTCACTCAATATCGTGATGAAGGTGGTATTATTACGTTGTCCTTATCTCTCGGATTGTTTACTAAGGATTACGACTGGTCTGTCGCTGAGAAATCAGCAAGTTTAATACTTTATACAAAATTTTAAATTTTTATAGGATCCACAAGTTACTGGCAGATATCACAGCCAGTTTTATGACCACGGATCAATCTGTGATGTTACAGGGAAACCACGAAGCACAGAAATTCGCTATGTTTGCAATTTCATGGCTGCGAACCCAGTTATTACTGAGATGACAGAAATAGCTACCTGCACTTATGTATTAACAGTCGCTTCTGCGGATCTCTGTGTTGTTCCTGCCTTAGCACCCAAAAAAGAGATCGAACCAAGTCGGATTATTTGCTCCCCGGTACTTACTGATGAATCCTACCGCAAATACGATAATGGTATTTTTTTTCATTTCTATTGATCATATTTTAGCTAAAAAGGAAGAACTTAGAAGCAAGAAAAGACTACAAGAAGAACTCCTTTTTCAGACAAACCTGCCTCTTTTACCCGCAAAACGTCGCGCTGCTCAAGAAAGAGTGCTTAGCTCACATCGAAGCTATAAAGTAAAGCCAACTACAACAGTCATTAATTTTTTTATCAGAAACGTCTACAACGCCAAAGCTTGCGAAAAGCTAAAGAACTTCAGAAAGACTTCCTAACTTTCATGAAACGAGTTGATAATAATTTTAGAAAGGCTCCTAATGAAAATTCGATTCTTCCAAATGTTAACACTGGTAACAGAACTTTTTTTAGCATTTGCTGTTGATGCTTTCTCTTGCAGAATCACTAGTTCGGTTGTTCAGAGGCATTCTACGATTTGTTTTTCCTGGTTCTGAAATGGAAGGTAGATTTCGTACTTTTAATCATATCGTCTATACAGACATCATGGCAACGAACTTACTGATTGCTCATAATCAGACGGTTGAGATCGCTTATGTTTTACTAAAGGTAACAAAATAATTTTTACCCTTATTTACTCATATTTTTAGCGAATGAGGGATTCCTTTGAGAACTCCATTGCGATTGGGGAGATTCCTAACACATTTCAAATGCTACGCCATTGTGTCTATCTCCTTAATAAACTGGAGAATATAAAATGTGAGTTACTATATTGCATTGTTAATAGGAGTCATTGTGACTCAAAATCTGGTCGTTTGCAACCTTTAAATGTCTGATAATTTGTGCTTAATTTGACCTTTAAGCTTCTTGTGTGGCTGATTTATATTGGTAAACAGGTATTTTTTGAAGCTTTTCTTAACATTTAATCTTTTTATTATCATTAAAATATGTTAGTATGACTGGAAAATTCGTACCACACTTTCGTTTTCTTACCGCTTATTCATTTTTGTTATAATGCTGGTGTGATCGATTCAGTACCTTTATGATCTTCTCTCGAAGCGATTAGCACTCATGACTTATTATGTTTTTTTGTCAAACTGAGGGAGTTTTGATTTTCTCTGTTTTTGAACTGTTTATTAAGACTAGCACAACATGTAGGATAACCACTTGAGATATCTACCTTTAGCCTACTCGATTCTCAGCACTTTTGACATTTCCATATTTAGAATTATTTCCCCTCCGATGATTTGGTATCTTTATCATTCCCCATTGTAATCTTATTAGCATATTCAATTTGTATTGCTATAATTGGGGACGCAAAAAATTGTAAAATTTCTTTATTGTAGGAAATCATATGTAAACTTGTAGCGGCAATGATAAAGGTGAGGAGTGGATTGATGTCATTAAAATTTTAGATTGCAATTCCGCAGTATTTACCCAGTGAATAGTGCTTCAAGGTTAATGTTTCATGAATAATTCCTTTAATATCCTGAATAAACTTTTGTACTAATTGACCAATTAACTAGTCATCATGGTCTATTTCACCACGTCATTTAAGGCAAGAGGATTGGACAAAATTTGTTTGCATGATTTTGCCATGTTATTAGATATTTTTAGTCGGATAGAGCAGTTAGGTAAGACTTACATAAGCAGCGTAGCTTACCATAGCTAATTTGAGATGAACTCAAATATTCACAAATGAAAATCTTAATAGTGTCAAATCTAACAGGTATTTATATTTGATACTCCTATTTTATGCAACCCACTCAAATCTGTGGAAATGAGACTAAAGGTAAGGAAGGTGATCGGTACTAAAAATAATGCCTAATCATCCTTAATTTACACAAAACTGGTTATGTATATCTTGGAAATAGGGAAGAATGGTTAGAACTAAACTATAGGTATCGTGGTTAGACTAGAATATCTTTTAGTCAATGGACAGTAAAATTAAAATTTGCCGTTTCAAGGGCGATCAAGTAGTAGCTAAGAGGGGGATCGACCATTTTATCTCTCTAGCCATTTAGGTTTCTTTCAACATTGGTGTGTTGGTGGGTGTATATCGAATCCTACCTCGTCATTGGTCTACTCTACGCCCTTTATGCTCTGCGTATTGGCAAGTGCTTCCTAGTTGTCTTTCGAGTTTGGTAGCCTCGTCTATTTCCAACTCAATTACCAGTCTACGCCGTATTTTTGACACTCATCTAACCGCCTAATTTCCAATATTGCTAGATTATTTATTTTAGTATTCATGGTTCTATTGTGGCTACTGTTATTTGAGCATCTTATCCTTTCTAACCTAAAAGCTAATGTAATTTTTTATATACATAGCTACAAAAGGCCTAACGAGATTAAGGCAGTCTCTTGAGAACTACCATCATCGAGGAGCCTATCGCCGCTTCTCCCCAACAGACAAATTCTACAATTTTATCCACTCTCAAGAGGTCACTTCTGAACGAGGAATATTTGATTCGCTAAATTCCACAATCGAAACTTCCAGTTAGTCATCTTTCGCTTAACTCTCTATAAAGTTTCATTTTATGTTATGTTTTGTCTCTTTCCTTTAGGAAACGCTCTCAATTTTTTGCATCTGCAGTCGTATATGACAGCACTTATTGGAGCTGACTTTGAAAACAAACCACCAGTTAAGCTGAAGTTTGACGAGATTTTGCGAGGTCTGGAGAGTGATACGCATTCGTCTAAGGAGACAGTTAGAATACTCCAAGAGACCTTGGTTTCACCAAAAATGCAGTCTATACTCAAGATCTTTCCTGCTGGGCAGACAGGTGATGTCGTCGTCAAGGCCTCTTTTCAAAAAATCGCGCACAACAAAATGGCCTTGGTTATATCGGTACGGCAGTAGTTTCGCGAAAATAAAGGCTATTAATTTCGTCATTCTTTGATATATTTGTTAGCACTTACCTTGAATAGAAGGAATGCATGCCTCTTTAGGAAACTCACATTTCACCATTTCTCATGTTGACAGCACGTTCTCAGTGTGGTTGACCGCTCCACATTTCTATTTCTGCACCAGATACCGTTTGTTCTCGAGACCTACTAAAACAAACATGCACACTGACCGTTGTGTCACTGGCACACAGTTGTGTTAAAAATTGTAATTGTTACCTATGACAGATAGAAGCGATCGATTTGACACATGGAATGAAATTTTGAGATCTATTTTTTTATCAGTCAATCCTATTTACACTTAAGTTTTGAATTTCGCGATTTGACCACTGGACTCAGAGTTTAGCTGAAACTTTTTGGGTAACTTAGGGTGACATGCACAGTTGCCTTCAAATTAAGTCAATTTTACTGATAACATGTTTTTTCTTGTTTTAGGTAGAAGATGAAAGCGTATCGAGTTATAAGGAGAATGCCCAAAACTACAACGTGAAAATAGATGTGGACTAAATTCTGTGATATTGATGAGTGTGTGTGGGTGTATGTTGCATTCCTTCTTCTGCTGTGTTTGTTTATTTTTTTTCATTGGCTATGCTATTCATGCTATATATAATGAGTTGTTTAAAGTCTTTGTCTTTTGATTTCTTCTTTTCATATTTTTCCAATTTTAATAATATTGCAACCACAGTTAATTGTATATTGCAAAACGAATGTTACGTTCTGCTTCTATGTTGTAATTTGTTATTAATGGGGAAAGCTATGGTGGTTTGACATGAGGGGGTTTAGCATGATTGCTTGACAAGGAGACTCGGGGGGTAACACTTTTCGTCAATGTTTAATTGAGTACCGGTGAGATGGCTTTTGTCCGGAATAAATGATGCGATTTGAGCGTAAATCAAGATCAACTATATATTTTAAATGAATAATTCAAGACTAAGTGTTCAAGTTTATTTGACCATAACGGTTGAACAATCTCTTCTCGCCCGTATTTGGACCCTTTTTATAAGTGGCTATCACTTAGATTTATCGACGACAGCAATTGTACTCGGTGTTTTGGTTATCATGTACTCTGAGTAGAATGAAAGCTTGAACCAATTAGGCTGATTTGGACCATTTACCCTCAAGTTGTGACGAAGAGATAGTTCCCATTAATTGAACATCCACATTTTTCGCTTATAACATAGCCGCACAATGAGCCATTGAACCAACATTAAATTATTTGTTGTTAATTTTAGAATCAGAGTACTCGGAGAAAGTTAAACTTTAAGTACATACTCTGGATCGAGTGTGAATGGAAAGCCAAAATAAACATCCAGTGTTCTTATGGCGTGAATATTAGTGATATAAAGTCAGGAAATTTCCCCTCACATAAGCAATGTTTATTTATTTATATCAAATGGCAGGCATTTTGATAGTTATCATAAGCCCTTTAGTTGACTTCAGGCTTCACAGAGAAGAAGGAACATCAAAGTGAAAAAAGTCGAGAGGGGGGGGGGGAGGAACAGAAGAGTATTTCAAAGATGTAAAAGAGACAGACACAAAGGTAGAGTGAAAAAGGTGAGGTGAGTACTGTAGAAGTAGTCGAAAATGATATACAGTGAGGTGATGGTGTTTTGAAGTCGGAAGTCAACTGCCGAATAATAGACTTGCCGTATGAGTATACGTCGCCCAGGGTGCACACAGGGTGTCTATCACACACCCCACATAAGCAATGTAGGTGGAAGGCAGT